ACAAGCTGAATACATAGGAGCAAACATGCAAGTGAGGAAGAGCATTAGAGCCGTCAAGAATAAATACGTGGAAGAACTAGCAACGACGGTGGGAAAAGCTGCAAGGGAAGGAAATACGAACCAACTTTACGATGCAAGGAAGAAACTAGCAAGGAAATACAGTAAACCAGAGAGACTGGTCAAGGACAAAGAAGGCAAGCCAATCACTGAAATTCAACAACAGCGGAACAGATGGGTAGAGTACTTCGAGGAACTCCTAAATAGGCTGGTTCCAATGAATCCACCGGACATCGAAGCAGCGCACACAGATCTTCCTATAGATGTCAATACACCAACGACGGAAGAAATCAGAATGGTCATCAGACAAATCAAGAGAGGGAAAGCAGCATGACCAGACAATATACCAGCTGAAACTCTGAAGTCAGACATCGAAGTAACTACAAGCATGCTTCACCTTCTATTCAAGATTTGGGAGGAGGAACAAGTGCCGATGGATCGGAAAGAGGGACACCTCATCAACATTTCAAAGAAAGGAGATCTGAGCAAATGTGAAAACTACAGAGACATCACACTACTGCCAGTACCAGGGAAGGTCTTTTAACAGTGTTGCTGAACTGGATGAAAGATGCGGTAGACGGTCAACTTTGAGATCAAAAGGCTGGATTCCCTTAGGATCGGTCATTCACAGACCAAATTGCGACACCATTGGTCATCGTTGAACAATCAGTTGAATGAAACTCGTCACTATACATCAACTTCATTGATTATGAAAAGGCATTCGACAGTGTAGATAGGAGGACATTATGGAAACTTCTTCGACACTACGGAGTTCCTGAGAAGATTGTCAATATTATCCGGAACTCATACGACGGACTACAGTGCAAGGTCGTGCATGGAGGACAGCTGACAGATGCATTCCAAGTAAGGAACGGAGTGAGACAAGGCTGTCTACTCTCTCCCTTCCTCTTTCTTCTGGTGGTCGACTGGATTATGAAGACCTCGACATCTGAGAGGAAACATGACATACAATGGACAGCTCAGGACCAATTAGACGATTTGGACTTCGCAGATGACCTAGCCCTCCTATCACATACTCACGAACAAATGCACATAAAGACAGCCAGTGTAGCAGCAGTCTCTGTGTCAGTAGGCCTCAACATACACAAGGGGAAAACCAAGGTCCTCAAATTCAAGGCGGAGAATACCAATCCAATCACTCTTGATGGCGAAACTCTGGAAGATGTAGAATCCTTCACATATCTGGGAAGCATCATCGATGAACAAGGAGGACCAGATGCAGAAGTAAATGCGAGGATTGACAAAGTAAGGTCGCATTCCTTCAGTTGAAGAGCATATGGAACTCAAAACAACTTTCAACCAATATCAAATTCAGAACCTTCGACACGAATATCAAGGCAGTTCTACTGTACGGCGCAGAAACTTGGAGAACTACAACAACCACAATCAAGAAAGTACAAGTATTTATAAATAACTGTCTACGCAAGATACTCAACATCCATTGGCTGAAGACCATCTGCAACAGTCTTTTGTGGGAGAGGACAAAGCAGCTTTCAGCTGAATAGGAGAATAGGAAAAGACGATGGGAATGGATAGGACATACATTACGCAGATTATCGAACTGCATCACGAGGCAAGGCCTGACATGGAATCCTGAAGGGAAGCGGAAAAGAGGAAGGCCATAGAACACATTACTTCGGGAAATAGAAGCAGATATGAAAGGGATGAATAACAACTGGAAGAAGCTGGAAAGGATTGCCCAGGATAGGGTCGGATGGCGAATTCTGGTGATCGGCCTATGCTCCGTCACGAGGAGTGACATGCGTAAGTAACCTAGTAATTAGGTGGCAACCATTGGCGCCACAGTATCTGGATGCAACGAAAGGTTAATCTGCATTTAGTACTAACCGTGAGGTGTGACTTTGAAGTTGGCTTACTGGTAGTACCATCCACGTTTAACTCTAGTAGGCCAGCAGTTATTTGACACAGATGATTTACATTGGTGACTGGACACTGACAAGTAAGTCTTTGGTTAACGCAACCCATGATTGTTCTTGTGATTACATTCTATACTTATTATTCTCCCTTTCTTTTGCTGCTTAAGCTTGTTGATTACTGTGATTACTCGCTGGTTTACATCAATAACGGCTCATATTCAAACTTAACTATTTAGTTCAATCAATTAATAGAATACTAATCAGCTACAGTTATAATCATGGTTCTTCAAGAAGTCTTATCAATACGTAATCGCTCCTGCACAGTAAGTCGGTTAAAATATCGGCCACTCGTAAACAAAATCAAAAAGCAACACGAACGCACATCTTTCTGTAACTTATTCACTTAAATGAGCAAGACAAGATCAACTGTAGCTTTAAATTTATCTTATAGTCTCATTTTATATACTATTTTCCGTAACAAACTGTTCCGAGAATGTTGCTCTTACATTAGCACTGCTAGCCTGTTTCTTAAGTTCCATGGTCGGAAAGAAAATACGAATACCAGAAATTCATAGGGAGTTTGGACTATAAATTTCCAGCAATCCTAATTTCGTTTAGAATGTTCGTTCAGGCAATGCTACGTATCTGACCTACATTATTCTTGGATCTATACAACTTCAGTCAACAGGGCTTTGTTAACCCAAGAATTAAATGATAAATACCTCGTTTTTGAATCGGATTTGGATTTTAGTTTGGCGACTGTAGTATTTATACTAGTTGATGATTCCTTTGTGTTTGACTGAACATTGATTACGAATTATGGATATAATGCGTTCATCTGTGCTCATCTAGTTCTATCTGGTTTTACATGGCTTAAATAACACTAATTCCGAAATCACTGACTAGCATATTAATTCAAATACTTCTAATTATCACAATTTTGCATGAGCCTTTCACGAGATGGTCTGCACCTTTTAAAATTCAGTCACGTAGGCGACTTCAGTTTTGGCAAGTGGTTACTATTTGATGGACACTTACTGTTTTCTTACACGATACACCATAACTTGAATTTCCCAATACTTGTATACCATGCTACTTTTGTTTTTTGTTTGTTTACATGAAATGAAGGTTCTGCAAATACCTAAACAGCCTCTCAAACTTTCCGAAGACTCCACCATAATCTCCAAATATATTTGTGTTTGCGCACTCAGCTATTAAACTAAGGTTACCCAAACAAAAGTTCGTCGTGACAGTCAGTATATATAGCACCGATACTATATTGACGTGACATTAATACATGCGTCCAAACCACTGTAATTATTCGAATTTGATGCCATAATTTGTGCATTTTACACATAATAAACTGAGGAGCCCTAAACATTAGGCTTAGTCATAGGTAATCGGCCATTCTTGCGTCACAACTGCTAGACTACGTAACCTGTCATAAATGTTATTTTTACATATGTAATATGCAAAGATTTAAGTGGTTGTTTTCCATGCAGTGTTCACTCATCAACATTGTAGAATCTAATTCATAACGATTTTTCAAGACTACCATGTAGGAAAATAGCAGTCACCAATTGAGACTGGTACAATCGAAACAGCTGTCAAAACAAACTCAGTCGGTCGATTGGCTTATATGATTATTAATTACATGAAATACTGTTTCCTCGTGGTTCTTGTTTCCGTCGCCGCCCTGACAGTGTTTTGAACCAGTATCATTAGCGTGAATCCAGATCGACACTCTTGGTTTCTTTTCTTCGATCCAGCTATCAAACACGTAGGCAACACTTGCCATCCGCAATTTTATAGAGAGATTTATTATCGATCTGTAGTCTATGGCGGTTACTGATTGTGGCAACAGTCATCAGTTTTTCAAACTCTAACTGCTCAGTGATTAATAACTTCCTACGATGAAATCAGGATTTCTCTTATCCACAATTATACTTTTGTACTTGCAGTTATTCTGCCAAATATGAAAAAAAACAAAATTTGACACTTACGAACAGAAATCTGTCGCAGCGATAAATAAACCCTCAACATAAATACTACCGTAGGTCTTCAAAATCTCTGCTGACCACGTTTGTTCTACTGGACACACCTAGCTTCAGGCTCTCCGCCATTCGTCAGTACCAGGTCAAGAGCGAGTACACTGTGCTACTCATACATTCTAACCGCTAGCCAGTCTAGACCAAACCCATCTCGCCATATCGATAGCCTACCAAATATATCTTAGATCCACCCCTACATAGTTGGCGGGATTTCGGATAAATAAATGTGAAGTAAATTCATGTGCATATGTACAAGAATGCTCGATATTGCAAGCAAACAGTTAATTAATTAAGACATATGATGTACATAACAAGTAACACCAAGAACTTCGACTGTATGGAAGCCCAACTAAGAGCGTTCTGACCTCACAGTAAAGTCGTCACCATCCCGATAACTGCGATCTGGCCCATCTCAAAGTAGACTGACAATTAAATTTTCTGTCTAAGCTTTCAGGAATGCTTTTCAAAGTTACTAGTGCATAACTGGCAATAAAAGACAAACGAAACAACCATGTCAGGAAAAGATATCCTTTCCACATTCTGTAGTGTATGGAATATTAGTCAAGTACCTGTGTTTTCTTAAGGGATGCCTGTAAGGTTTTTTTGAAGCTATCACTGATGAGAGTTGTGGGTGATGTTTTGACATTTTAGTGATGAATTCTGATCAGGTGTTGTGCGTTATCGGAAAAATTGGCAGTTCGTTAAAACCCAGCAACTGGAAGACATAAAAATGAGGGGTACTACGGAATAATGCTTTTGTCAGTAGCCATTTCGTCAGGAAGACAACTATTTTCGTGGGAGGAAGCCTACATAAACAAAGCTTTCCTACTCAAATGATACAGTCACCTACATGCAAAAGTTAGCAATAATCAACCACATCATATAATTTGTGCACTTTTGATTTTTGGGTGTTTTTGCTTCATGACTTTAAGTGTATATTGTTCTCATTCCATTGATAATTATCTGATTCAGTTGTTGAATTAACAGAGCGGGTATTATAATTTGTCAAGGTTGGATGTGTAAATATGCTCTCTCGTTATCCTAAAGAAACACAAATTAGTTAAGTTTCACCGTAAGTGCATATCAGAAAGTTATAGGATCTAAAGCTCCGAGTGGTAAATATCTTAAGGTGGAGATTTGGAGTCTCAGTTACCATACTGTTTTACTCAGACTTGATTCCCATATGTATACATATGGGAATAACTATAGTTATTGAGCTCCTAGTATCTAGTGTTTAAAGTGATTTTTTCAGACCATTCTTCCATAAAATAAAACAAAAGATCCTTAAAAGATTCCGCACATAGACACTATTGGAACTGGTAAATAATCAAAAAAGTATAAGTATACTTTTACTTATACTCATTGTCTCGTGTCTCTTTTTAACGTACTAAAAGAAAACCTTAAATTCGATAGGCTATTCGTGAACAAAAGTCATTGTTTTATTAAAATTAATATCTCTTCATCGTAATTTAATATTTAAAGGTTTGATAATCTAATGGTGATAAAATGTTATTGTGGAATAATGAGCAACGCATGTTTTGGTGACTTACCCCAAAATTTCTCCAAACTTTGGGGAAGGTTATTCAACTTTGGGAATTCCCCCAAAATTTTTTCAGACATTGGGGATTTCCCTAAAGTTGGGTGCTTGGGTAGTCTCATTGAAAATCCATGCACAAATTGCTGCACACATATATATTTTTGTACAGTGAAAATACTGATTCTGAAGTAATTAACACTCAAGTAACCTTGAAGTATCCATTAACCAAGGTGGATGACGATTCCCAATGAAGCTTTCCAACTTGGCTTTAAATTTTCAGTCCATACTGTATGCTCCTAAAGACCCTAAGGTGCCATTCGGAATGTTTTCATATACTATCATTATTGATATTCACATACTGTCATATCTACTCATTGTTAATTTAAGTTTGATATTTCCCATTTCACCCCTATTCAGTACTAAAAAGTGTTTGGAAAAAATCCTTTTCGTTGTGCCATTGAAGTTTTAGTGTTTGTAACGTCCAATTTTTTGAAGTTCATATGATCAAGATTCTAATGTTTAGTCACGTTCTAAGCCATTTGATGGTATATCAATTTTAGTTGTCAGTTAGGCAGTTATTTTCATGTTCCGTAAATCCGGAATTTATCGCAAAAAATTATCGTCTTTGCAATCAGTGTCAGTGGTGAGATAAAATGTGTCAGCCCAAGTCTCCGTATATAATTAACACAATAGGATTTAACTAACAAGTTGAGTATTAATGGGACAAGAGTATAATTTATCGACGAACAAATCAGATATCAGTCAGTCAGCTACAAGGACCAGCCATCGGTCCAAGTTTCCACACTTCATAAGCACAACAAGATAAACACCGAATTCATGAAGTAGTTATGTGGTGTGTGTTGCTTATATTGACATAAGTAGTATTTGATGTTAGTCGTGAACAGAAGGTCTGGCAGCAGAGACACAAGAGAATCGAATAGTAAAGAATGGAAACAATGCAATTTGTATGAAAATGCAAGAACAATGAAGTCTGAGTCATTTTGAGAATATTGATGGACATTTTGCAAATTAGGCATTTACTTTATGATTGTTAGATTTTATTAACAAGTCCTGTAATTTTGTGTTAAGTACATTCGATTGTCCCCACTGGTGTTCTTTTTCACTATATAATAATATATAAAAGAAGGATTGTGTATAAGGTTACAATACAGAAATAAACAATTAGTTTGTAGAAAGAAAATCAGATATAAGATAACAAGGCCAAGGTAAGCTGTAGTTGGTCAAAAGAGATACATCCCACTCGTTTGTCAAAATATGCGAAACCTCGTAAGCCTATTTTCCACTTTTGCTTAGTGCCTAAGTAGATCTAACCTCAGTATTGCTCCTTCCCTTTTTCCACGACACGCGAGTAGCGCTTCGAATATATTGAAAGGGGTCTTGATCAATCTGTGTCTGTGAATGTCGGTACTAATTTATGTACTCGGTTCTTCTGTTTTATGTAACATTATCCCTTGATTAAACCACTTAATAATTTCATGCCTTATTTTGACATGATTTCTTTATCTTCCATATTTTCTAGTTCTTTTGTTCCACAAAAGACTACTTTGTCATGGATTTATTTCCATTCCATTTGTTTGTTATCTGTCGACACTAGTTCTGCGCGATTTTCCAATTTTTTTTAATCATGTCTTTGAGTGAAATAGTTGAGAATGTAAAGCAAGCACGAGAACTGGCTTTGCTTGGAAACTATGAAAGTTCGTTAACGTATTATTCTGTTGGTCTTGCTCAACTTAAGAAGTTCACTGTTTCAATTTCTGAAGCAAACCGAAAACAACAATGGCAAACTGTAAGTTTTGTTGTCCACCGATGTTTGAGTAATATTTTGTATATTGTTAAAGCTAGTGATATTCCCGTTACCAAAACTAAGACAGGTGATGCAGGTTTCGGACTTGTGGCATACTACTCGGTCGCTTCAACTGTTAAGCCATCGTTCCATCAGGTCGTATCAGTATCCGTTACATAGAAATTGCTTGTAAATGAGGTCACACAACTGCAATTGGTAGATGGGTTACCTTGAAATTATGGATTGAGTTGTTTGATCGTTTCAGTCCTTGAAATATCTCATTTTTTCACACCTGGAGATATTAGTACTACGGTGCAACATTTATGTTACAATTTCTTAAAGACATGTATTCTAAGTATATTTTAGCCAACTGTAGGTCTTTATTCCTGACCACGAGACCTTATATATTCGTTTAGTGTTTACTGTTTAGTTCATTTAGTCGATACACTTCTTACTGGCTGTTTTTGTTTGTCGTAGGTACGGCAAGAGCTTACAGATGAATATGAACTGGTTAAAGACGTCAACCAAACGTTGTCTAGTTTCAAAATATCTGATGATGACTCGGGTTTGAGTGCTTTTACCAGTCGCTATAATTCCCGTTCAACTGTTGAAGAGCCAACTAGAGACCCAGATGTTTGGCCACCTCCCCCTCCTCTCGAACGAAGGCATGGGAATAGTTCTCAAAACGCTGGATCAAATATTCAACCAAATTCAGTTTCTAGCTCTTACTATAAGCCACCTGTTGCTCATGCTCCAGCTCCCCCTCCTCCATCCGTTAGCTCAAAATCATCTAATAATACTGCGGGATCATTTCGTCGCAATGTCAGGCCCAGTCCGACGAATCCTCGATCTAAGGGTACCACTCAAACCTCTGGTAACGTTTCTGCTTTCTTATTCACATTTCATGTTCTCTTGTTTTCTTAAACCATTTTGAGTTATATACATTTGAATAGTGATTTTTAGTTCGACATTTTTACCATGATGTTGCAAGTTTGTGGAACAAATGTACTTATATTTAATCTTTTATTCTTCACGTTTTATGGCACCAAGAGTGATGGTGAAAAATTTGTTAAGAGCAAAGTATTGGTTTGAAGCAATGCTATCCATAAATCGTTAATAAACGTAAGGAATAAGAAAACAGTGCAAATACAGTAATTATAGGTATAACACCCTCTAAATTTTTACCATTGTATCTTATGAAAAATTAAAATTTTAATGAACTATTGTCGTCCTCTGGTTTGTAAGCGTATTATGTTTCACCTCGATTTAAACTAGAATAAACCCTGGAGGTAGGGGATAATTGGATATCACCAAGACATTTCGTAATAATATGAATAAGCAGTTTTCACTTTCATTCACAATGTTCAATTGGGGTTGCCGGGAAATCCTTTGTTTATTTCTCAAGCCTAATAAAAACATTATGTCTCAGTGTACACTATTATGTCTAAACGCTTATTTATAGTTATTGTTTAAGTTTTGTACTAAGTTTTCCGCATCGTTTGACAACCTATTCAACTGGGTGATAGAAAATATCCATTTATCTCAAACAAATCTTGCCTTTGGGTTATTTATAGTTTATTTTATTGACTTTATTTAGCAAATAATCGTCGTGTCAAATCTGGATCTCAACCTACTGGGGATGCTACTACCACTGCTAACAATAACAATGAAGATAAATTTGATGCTAGTGGATACGACAAAGATCTTGTGGAAACACTAGAACGCGATATTGTTCAACGTAATCCAAATGTTCGATGGGATGATATAGCTGCATTAGATGATGCAAAACGTTTACTTCAAGAAGCTGTAGTTCTCCCAATGGTTATTCCGGGTTTCTTTAAGGGAATACGTAGACCATGGAAAGTAAGTTGTTTGGTGTGTTTTCTAATACATCACCATCCCCCACATATATAGGATAGTTCAAAGTTGACTGTGTGAATCATAATGGAATATAATGTAATAACTTGCAAGTGGTGATTTGATTTATGTTATTAATGAGCGGCATCATTTAAATTGACTTTTATCTTTATCTTTAACGAAAACTATTGTTTTATTGGATTTCTGCATCTTAATGTTTGTATTTTCGTTTCTCATTTCGTTTTAGGGGGTACTAATGGTTGGTCCGCCTGGTACGGGCAAAACATTATTAGCTAAAGCTGTTGCAACAGAATGTGGCACCACATTTTTCAATGTTTCCAGTTCTAGTCTAACAAGTAAATGGAGAGGTGAATCAGAAAAATTAGTCCGTCTTTTATTTGACATGGCACGTTTCTACGCACCAAGCACAATATTCATGGATGAAATCGATTCAATCTGTTCTCGACGTGGTGGTGAATCAGAACATGAAAGTTCTCGGCGTGTTAAATCTGAACTTTTAGTGCAAATGGATGGTATGCTTTGATTTGATTGACAGGAAAATCTTCTAAGATTTTTTCTAATTCTCAAAGGATTTAAATTTGTGTTTAACCCTTTCAAATAACTAGTAGTTTGTAAATAATGAATATAATGGTTGGTTATATTTTCTGGACTCAATTTACACGTCTTGATTACTTTGGCGTATGCACTTAATTTGCTTTTGTTCAAATTCCATCATTTTTTATTTCGAGTTGCCCCATGCTTCTTAGCTCGTATGCAGAATAACTTAAATGTCGAAGAGCTTCTTTTAAAGTTATGCTATTAAAAAGATTAAACCACGTACAAATATTTTAGCAGACGTTTACGTTTTGTCCGAATTCACGGTACTTAGTTAAAACTTTTGTATTATGCAATCAATAATAACTAAATATGTGGAAAGTATACTGAACTTATTTCCTAAAATCTGAAGTGGGGAGTAACCGATAACGACTGAAACAGGATCCTTATGTGATCTTTTGTGTTTGTTGCGAATCCAAAAGACTTATTTAAATGATTTACGTTTATTTTGTCACTTAATGTGTAAATGTAAGTTAACATAATAAACGATCCAAAACACAACTCTGTTTGATATCAACTAACGTTTTCGTGTACTATATATAGTTCGTGGGATCATAAGGTCACTAGTCTGACATAATGCTTGTCTTAGTATAAGTCTATTACTTTATATTGCGAATATTCCCTTATAAATTATGGTTATTTTATATTTTCAATAATGTTTGATATTGAATACCAGTTGTTACAATTTCTTCTATTACGACTAAGCTGCTGCTATTGCTTAGTATTCTCGGACATTATTTCACTCGACAAGTCTCCAAATCAGAACATGGTTGAACAGGAACGTAATTATACTCCAAATAAAAATGTTGGATGAAAATAGGAATCCCAATAAAAAACGTTAGAATATTTGTGATTTTCACACAAGAAGATTCTAGAGTATCCACCATCGCTGATTGCTTAAGAAATAGACAATAGCGTGCCCCGATATAGTCCTGCGCGGAACATGCTTCAGTCCAATCTTCATCTCGTTAACACCAGTGTTTGGTGAAATCGAAGTGTGGAGCACTGCAATATTCGTTCTTCAACACTAATGGCAATTATAACAGTAATTGTATTCTAAAATCATATATAGAGTATCTTACGACTACTTAGAAATCAATGTATCGACGCTGAGATAGTCGAGATAAATTTAGCCATCTTAGTGTTAGTAGATGGTTGTCATTCATCGAAGCTATCGCTTTTAAATTTTAATCACTAAGCTTTGAACCCACATAGATGTTAAAAATTTCATTTTAACCAATTTTGTTATCTTCAGGCGCTTAATCTCATTTCTTATGATAGTTATATAAATGAGCATATATTTGTTGTATTACTTTAAGTATTCCCTGTACTTAAAGTTATCTTTACTTCTCAAGGAGTAACAGGAGCTACAGGACAAGAAGAGGACCCTACAAAATCTGTTATGGTTCTTGCTGCTACGAATTTCCCTTGGGACATTGACGAAGCTTTGCGTAGACGTCTTGAGAAACGAGTGTACATACCACTTCCAAATGGTATGATATTTGTGTGAAGTATTTGCCTTACAATATTAGGTTTTTCGAATTTATGTGGAATTTCGCGGGTAATTCATTTTCATCATTCTTTACAACTTGGCCAGGCTCTGTTTAGAGTCTGTTACATTAGATTGCATTTATTTCTATCTATATTCACTTTTTCCCATTCTACCTATCTTCTAGACTTGGACATGTTATCTAATGTTCTGACAGTTTATATTTTTATCAACCGAATATTGTCTTATCAATTGTGATCATCTTACAATGAATCTGTTCTAACAGTATGATGTTCGCGCTAAATTAGTATATACCTTGTCATTTTCAAATGTTTCCAAGTGATAGATACTTTCTAAAAGCTAGTCTTATTGGAATCTATATAAATGGGAAAGCAAACAAATGTTATACACAGGTATATTTCAAATGTATTATGTGACATTTTGAAAAGGCTCAACCTTTGGTAAATCCCATTTTCTAAAATATCTTGGCAAAGACATTGGGATGCCATACCCTAAGGTGGAATGTACAGTTTTAAATGTTCGATAATTACATGTCAACAAATCTGAAAATAGTAGTCATTCTAATAAGTTCTGTTCTATAAAGTTGTATAAAGTGAAAGTTTGTGTATGTAATCTTGATCATAAAGACTTAAACTTAACATCTACATATACTTGGGAATTGCCTTCATCATCAACCACAAAGCGATTGAAAACCAAGGTTCATTGTACAGGTGTTTTAGATCAATCTGATTTAATTCAACAGTTATACTTGATCCATTAAAAAGTCTAACTCGTGAACTGCTAATCTCATCCTGAACATGTTGCTATCTACTCAATAAGCAATGAGGACTTTCTACGAATTAATGGTATCTATATCAACTGCTATATTAAAATACATGACTTTAAAATTGACATACAGTTCGTTTCTGTGTTTGTTACTTTTTCAGTAAATCTATTGACTAAGTATTTTACAAACTGTTTGATTAATAGTTATAGTAATCATAATGGTAAAAATATATTGTCATAAATGATTATCTTCCAAATGCTCTGGTACAGTTGAGGGTGGGGAAAGTTCTATCTCCCTCTCGATATGCTCTTACACGATCATGCATATACAACCACTACCAGGGAAGTCCTACCCACTACCTTCTCGCAGCATTACTGTTGTTTACGAATTTTAGAGGACGAAAAGCGAATGTCCGGCACTTTAACAAGGTTGGTGGATATGTAAGACCCACCTAACGGACTTACAAAACCCTAGTTCCAAACCAATGGTGTACATGGGCTCCAACATCCTGAGAGAACAAATGGCGTATGAACCAATTATTTGTCAGCGGCTACCATGGGATTGCATCTCCTGACATTGCTCCACTGCCTTGTGGATCAGAAATTTAGGTCGAAGACTCCGAGTGGGGCTCCCTAAGAAAAACTACCTGCTTCGGTCTGGGCGCCTGGGCAGTATCATAACCCTCACACAAATCAATGATAACTGCTACTAACCTCATTGTTATTATGTGTCGCGTATGTATTTGATATCCCCGTGTACCAATATTTCTGCGTTCAAGTAAATAAATAAATTTACGAGCATTGTAAAGTGAGTAAAAACAAAGTGGTAACAAATAATTCGAGTTAATATGAATATTTTTGATGGAGTTGGTAATAGTATCAGGCATAAGATGTATAAAAAATACATGATTCCAGTTGATATCGTTTTCTAGTACAGAATTACTGACAGAATAGACGTCTTAATGGTCATAGATCCTGTATGTATAAAGTTGTTATTATTAAGTGATGCATGATAAAAGTAGTCAGATACGTCAAAAAGCCTAGATAACCACGACCTTATATATGTTTTCCAGTGGTAGATATCACATTTGTACCATGGAAAGTGTATTAAACACTTTAATCACTGAAGTTCATTTCGGTTTACCACATCCCATTTATTATTGAATGGTACTGATTATCACCGCGTAAAGTTGTAACTGGTTAAGAGACTACAACGTTTAGTTTCTTGAAGTGAACCACGTTATTTAATTGACATTTGTTGAATAGGAGAAATGACGAGAATCATCTAATCGTACATTAGTTATTTAAATGATTTTATACTTTTGAACTGCTATGTTTTGTTTATTCAACAGAATTCATAAAAATAAATCTCATTGACTCAATGATTTGTTGAGATTCTTCCTAATCTATGTCGTCTTGATTTTGATTTACCTTAGTGACTGCACGCAAAACTCTGCTGCAAATCAACTTGAAAGACGTTCCTTTAGCAGAAGATGTTGATTTAGACAGTATAGCTGAACAATTAGATGGTTATTCCGGTGCAGACATAACGAATGTATGCAGGTATATAAATAGTTACAATTTTTGTTTATTTGTTACTTCTGAATTTCAAAGATAATATCACCAATAATTTATAATTGACTATAGGGGTATGGTTTAATTTTAAGTTATTTTGTTATCTTTAGCTATAAAGTGAAGGGGAATGGTCATATTTTAATATGTCTTAGCTTGAAACTCAACAGTACACACTCCAAACGTTTTCCACATTCCGAACTGAGAAGGTTAAATCTTGTAACAAATGAAACCAAATAACAAAACTCATTAGTGAAATAGAGATATACTGTCGTTTTGCTGTCGTTTAAAATTCATCAGCATTACATACCATCGAAACAAAAACCAAAAGCATTCCTTTGAGCTATATATCTTCAGCATCAACACAGGATCGTTCCTAACGGTTTCAATTTTCACAGTGAATACAGTGTTATTGATTTATTGGTTTGGAATCATGTGGTTATCATTTTCATCTTGAGTTGTTTTGCGGTTTCGAGAAACCGTTCTCGGATACTATACTTTCTACTTGGTTGACTCTTTAGCTCACGATTTCTCGCTAAAACTCTGAGCAACTTACTCTTGAGAACATGATTTTTTATAGAGGCATTTTTTGAAGGTTCGAAAACAAGATTCTCAGACAGAGTTAAAAGAAAAGCAGCAACCTATCGTTAATGTTTGCAACAGTGATTACACTATATTGTTAATCCATAGAAGTTATGAGGGATTTTTATTGGATGCCGAGTTCTCGGCTGAATGATATCACTTTTACCATCGGACATAAAGTTTCTAGGTTCGATCGCATAAAGCATAATTGGTGCGCGTTTCAAACTCAGATAAAAGAAATACCCCTTGCTTCTCAACTTGACTTCAGTCCGTGAGGTAAAGTATCTTCGAAGCAAATAAACATATGTGGACAAACAAAGTCTTCTGAAAGCGTTGCGTCAAGATTCATGAATCTGAAAATCGTTAGATAATAAATTTCGTGCATTTCGTTGACTTTTAATTCCAGTCTCCGTTTCTATGTTATCTATCTATGTTACCTTTAAACAAGAACATTTTGTGACTATTGTCAAAAAAGGTGAAAGTTTGCACTTCTAATTCTGGGTGCCTGAAATGCGGTATTAGAACCTTGTCTTCTGTGTTGTTTAGTTTGTTGGACTGAAGACTGGAGATAGAGTACGGTACTGATATCGGTTTCAATCTATTATGTGGAGGATTTGATGAGTTCTTCAGTTACTTCCTATGTACAACTAGGTACTTTCGTCACACATAACTTTCAACTGTGAACTCATGGTATGCGTTGGTTCCGTCTATCATATTTTAAAGAATAGATGGGGTCGTTCACAGCCTATTCCACGAGCCTGAATATAGTTACTATGTTGTCTACTCAACACTAACACTGATTGAGAAACTTACTGTTTTCCCAGTTAACATATCAAGTGTATTGTGAAGAGGAATCAATGAAAAGCTTTGAACTGAAAGTTTTTGTCTGTTATCAATCACTGCTATAGTGTAGTTTTACGATAGAGGGAACACGCGTTTGTGCATGTCATAACCTACCTCAGTTGTCATCACAAACAAATCAACTTTAACTTAGTTCTGCTCGTTGCACCTGACCGTTTTTTCCACTAACTGGTAATTCAGAGTCACTAGTTCTTGTCCTTTTAAAATTCAAATTCGTTTTATTAATTTTCACTCGTCATTGTTAGAATTTTGTAAATGTCATATTTGTTTCAATTTTCAAGTTAATGTATAAGTAATATTTTCCTACTCACATAATATCCCGCCCGATTTTATAGTGATATATTTTTGATTATTGTAGAGATGCTTCAATGATGTCTATGCGACGAGCTATAGAAGGACTCTCAGTAGAGCAAATTAAAGGTCTTAATACTGCTACACTTAATCAGCCGACACGAATGGCTGATTTCGAAGAAGCAGTCGGTCGTGTGTGCAGATCTGTTTCAGCCAGTGATGTTGAACGGTATGAGAAATGGATGACAGAGTTTGGGGCTACATGAACCGCTGATTTACGTTTACCGATGTAGACTTATACCATTCGCACATATTTGATTGGCTTATCCAGGTTTTTACCTTGCAAATAAATGTACTTGATTGTCATATCTCAAACCTACGTATCTCAAATCATCAGATTATATGGATACTACATGCATGGCTCAAATGACTGAATAACTGAATCCAGCCTTCCAATTAATTGCGCTTTACAATTGAGGAAAAAAATACATCAATTGCCATGTTTTCTTGTTGGTTTACACTCGAACGTGTTGGTTCCCCTCTATGCTTCCTACTCGTGATGGATATTTTTTCACTTTACACTAGGTAGAATGTTTTTGATTTGATAAATCTTGTATGTCTTTCAGTTGTCCAGAAATAGGCTAATACAATCTTTGTTGATAACTGTATGGGTATTTATTAGCCACATATTCGTTCTATAGAACTCCCCAGTGGATTTATTCTATTGACTGTTTATTTGAGAACCTGTGAAACATCCCGACTGGGAACGGGAAAGCGATAGTCGATTCTGTAATTTCCCTTTCTAATTAGATAACTCCTTATGAGTTGTAAATCGATTGCGTATCATCGTTGTAATTGCAAATGTAATCATTCAACACAATTTCAACGAACATTTTCCACATTGATTTCACTTTAAGACTAGAAATCTTTTGATCAGCTGCCAATGTAACTGTACTTTTCGGTCATTCTGCAATACCTTAATATTCATTCTACAATCTAGCAAACAAAAACTATGTATTCCTGAAAGTGTCGGATTCAGTCATATGAAGGGGTGCCATATTAGTTTTTAATGGTGATTATTCGTTAGTGAACAATAAATATCATCACTCAACTCAATTATGTATTGATCATTACACTTCGCATTAGGGCTGTGAGAGTAGACATACAAAGCTAAAACGTATTGGACAAAATCATCATGACGAATAGTAAGGAGGTGAAGCAATGTTAAGAAATTATTAGGAAGCAAAGCAAAGTATGGAGTAGGATGCAGATTTGAAGGAAAATAACAACATGCTCGCCATTGCAATTAATCTTAAGGCTTATTGTCAAACGTTACAGATTGTCGATTGTTTTACGTAAGCCCACAAAGCTGAAAATAACAGAGAATTGTGACATTTCGATGTGACTACTTCGAGGCTGCTCTCCTACTTCAGACATGTATATATAATTTGAAGCTACTTTTGGTGGATTCTCATTTTTATAGCTTGTTGAAAGTGCATGATTTTATTTGGAGGACAGAAACGAAGAGACTGGTTGGTGTGGGAAACCATACGTTAATGTATTCTGTGGTGTTCGTGCTAAGTAATAAATGTTTTGTAAATTGTTACGCGTCTGTTTGGAATTACGAGGTTATACCTTCAATTCTGCTCACTGTATTCTCTATTACTTGAGCGCTGGTGGATTTGTGATCACTAGATTACGTATTGGACAGTTCTAGGAATTACCAGTTCATATTACCGAATTCGGTACTACTGCATCTACTCATCACAGTTTTTGTACTTAAAAGTTTAACCATTGAGACAGTGAAATAATATTGAACATGGAGCTCACAATAAAGTGGACAACATGTACAGACCTCGTTGTAATAGTCATTCACTCAAGATTTCGAATCATGTGTACCGTATGCGTTTGAAGTCAATTTTTCTGACTCACGCAGATCGGAAAATTCGACTGGATGTAACACCAACTGTGTGACGACTATAATCGATTTGACATTCTTCAAGAGAGAATTATTACTACGTAAGATTCTACTTAATGTAAATATAACTTTAATAAAACAGTGGATTAGACAGAATAATTAACGTTACATAAAAGCAAAAAGTGTATAGGCATTAAAAATGTATATTTAAAATTCAATAGTCAATAAAATGTCTGTAGTTACTTTGTGTTAGTTATTTTTAAGAAATAAGTTTATGAACTATCTAGGAATTTCTGATACATGTGTTTAGTGACCACCGTGATCTTTTCCAGATCCTGGTTTATGACAACCAGTTCCACAATGTTGTGGCTTGTCATGAGATCCATGACCAGCACCCTCTTTGTCATGGCAGTCTTTCACACAGTGTTCAGACGATTTGCAATGCTCTTTGTTGTCATGACCATGACCGGCTTCTTCATGATGTTCGTGATGATGTTCAGCTGAAGTGAAGAATATGAAGAAATCCAATTAATCAAGTCTACTGTGTGGATGAGCCATCCATTTGATTTTTTGGGTGTGAGTTAAAAACAGAAAACCGACCCTTTATAATTAAAGATCAGTCATGGCTTAGTGCATACTCATTTGGTAATAAATATTTTATTTTTGAATAATTATGTTTACTAATGTTCGTACGTCACTGCATTATGCTTGAAGCACAAATTTAGTAAAACGCACGAACGGAAATAAACGTTAACCCAAACTCACACATAAACCTGAAACCTTAAACAACAGTCAAGATTGTTTGTCATGTCATATTGATAGTCATGCCTACGTACATTAATGGTTCGTGTTGTCAAGAAATTAACCACTGACATTGATTGTGAATATAATCTGTTGAAAGCATTTTATGCTAAGATAATGTGAAGTCATTATTTATAGACGTCAAATAATTAGGCTTTGTGTAATGTGTGAACTTAAACTATGTGGTTTACAAGAGGGACATCTATAAGTTTTGATATGATTGTTTAACACATGAGCTGAATATATGACGCTCCAGTGGAACAGTAGTAGACATGGTGATCACTAGGAATTGCTAGCATTCTAATTGTTAGTTGGTTTCTGCCCACTATTCTTGTAACGCAATTTGGAATGTGGTGACTGCTTGCAAATATCCAACGCACATTTTGTGGTTCATTCTAGACAACACTAGAGGTCAATGAAGATAACTGTATACTTCAGAACTGGGTGATGCTGGTACAAGTGTTCTGAACGTTGTACTCAAATGATGTACGTTAACCACATGTTTGGTTAATAGATCCAAAGACGGCAGTATGAAGGACGAATAGTTTATTTGGCTATACCCGGAGGTGGGTGAGTGTGAGACTAGTACTAGACTGGATATCGAGTGTATAAAAGAGGCATCCCTCATGAGTGGTGACACAATAAATGGAACTTTGACCGTGAGCTCTTAGCTAGTTTAGTAAGGTGAGCAGATGTGTCTAAAACATACTGAACTGCAGAATCCGATGAGTTGTTCAGATGAATTAGTTTAGCAATCAAATGGTTAAAGAGTTCAGTTCATCCATGAGGAACCATATGTGGTGACTGCACATGGATAATACAATTTCGGTGTGCAGAAGATGTAGCCTTTTCAAATGACTCTCACCACTTCGATAAATAATAACTGTAGAAATCTTTTACTTAGTTACTATTATATACTGTATATTAGGGGATCAATTCCTTTAGTTACCTTACAAACATTACGTATTGGGTATCGTATAATGGAGGTGACTAGCTGAAAGTCGTGCATGTAGAACTAGTGCTCTATTAGAATTCACAAGCACTTATCATGTGAAATATGACGTGATAAGTAAAACCCATCTTCGTTGTTAGCCATAATAATGAGTGAAACTAGTGGTTAGTGCAGTGACTCCTGTCAATGAAGATACTTCTGCATAAATGCGTTTGGCTGAAACCGTATGAAGAGTTTTTGTGTCTGGAGAGGCAAGTTTATGACAATCAAAGTGGTCAGTGTCAAGAAAGCTTATGTGATATGTGATGAACCAAACCTGTTATTTAAATACGTATTATTTTGATATAGAATAAGATTTGGACTTAAAACTACATTGAATGTTGTTAAGTCAATGTTTGGCTCTGAAATGAGCCACCATTGCTTATGGATTCCATCTGTGATCAATAATTCACCCGTTCTCTTAATAACATAAAAATAGTTTTTGGTTGAATAAATTTGTGAAAGAAACAGATATAGTTTACTGCAAAGTCAAATGTTAGACGAAATTGTTGAATATAATGAGTGTATTTAACGTGATGAAGACTTTGCAACAGTACTTATTTATCGGGTATAAACAACAGCAAACTGTTGGTTTTGCATGTGCTAGTAGATTTTGATGATTAAATAGATACAACCAAATCATCCAAACGCATAATACTACTTCAACCTCATTGAATGGTATGACATGTCGTTGATACTCGATCCAGATATTTCGACTACTAACGTGCTAAATCTCTACCAGTTCATCATTCAAAACGAACTATCTGCAAATGCCATGTGTTACGACCACTGGAAATCAATTCTATATTTCCCAATACCGCGGTTTTACACTGCACTGTTAGACAATTAGACTCAGTATACTAACAAACTTTATTACTACTCAAGTAACTCAGCATAATCATTACAATAGTATGAGTTAAAGCGTAATTTTAAAAAAATATAGTTCACTTACCTCCATGAGAAGACATGGTTGATAATAACTGCTGTTTAGTTTACGAGTCACTTCATATTCTACCCGTGCACAGCTTCGTTTATATAATGGAAAATTTACTTCCGGTTTGATTAATTAATTACCCAATATCAATTGTTGTTATGTTGTGGTTGGTTAGATATCTGCAAATTGTTTCAATGAACTGACAGTTTATTCATATGTATCAACCATACAATTCATGAATTAATTATCATGTTTCATTCTATTGTATGCAAATATAAAATATTTGAAAGTGATTTCGTTTGAATAAACAATTTATATGTTGAATTTTTGAGTTTGACATTATTATGGTGACCTAAAATTAGTCCACAAACAAATTTTGTCCTGAAAATAAATAAGTGAATCTTCATATATTTTAATGTATATTTCATTTCTCCATGTACGTAAAAACAAAATCCATTTCGGTTACAATCGTACAGTGAGATACCTGAGTGTAGATGTTTGTCATATTGCAAGAATCTCACCGATTCAATTTCAAGTATAACTAATTAATGAGCTTTAGTGTTTTGCTAAGTCGAAGCTAGACAACATTTGAGATGGAAACTGAAATCAACGATTTGATGATTTGGATTATTTCACGAGACAATCTGAGAGTGGTGTGTGAACTAATTGAACTTAAGCGATCCAGAAATCCCCATGGAATATTCCATAGCAAGGAACTTTGTTGTCTGATTTTAATATTGCTGTAATCTAGTGACCACCCAGTTGTACTGAAGGGACTCACCGAGTACGCGAAGTATCGTGCGAAATTCAGTGAAGCGAAAACTGTTGGATTTTGTTCGTGATTACATTGTTATACATGGTTTTTTAAGCAGTGTTGTAAATCCCTTCGTCGGTGTAAGATTAAACGTAATGTTAGTTTGGTGAGAAGATATTTCTTGAGCCAAATTGAATCTCTTCAAACGCATATATGGTTGAGTTAGAAGCGAGTGTTACACAGAGATTACGTGCTAATGAATTTCTTTCCTCCCAAAATTCAGTGGATTCATCTGCGACCTATGTCCTTGATGTACAGCGAACCAGGGAAAATGAGAGAATCAACGGGGACAACGGACTAAACAACCAAATGTTCAAATCTGATCTTCTGTGCAACTTCTGTTGCAAGTAAGCATCGAACCGAGCTAGCTTCTAGGCTAGCCACCATCCCACTGGAAAGTATAGATGATCATTGGTTGCAACTGCATGAC